ACTACAGAAGATGAACATTAATGAGTATTACCTTCTTGGTTTTGTTCTTCCAGAGTCTTATTTATCACAATCAACCAGCTTTCTGGTGATTCTCCAGCTTCCAAGATGGTACACTTGTAGAGCCCTTCATCAGATTTGGAAACATTGTGGATGGTCATTTTCCCAGAATAGCTGGTCCCAATTTTCAAGTCATTTTTATAGAAATCAGCTATTTGGTTTAGAGGAGCTCCCTTCTTTCTACAGTACAGGTTGATAGTTTTCCTCTCCATTACAGGTACAGCAGGACTCTCCAGGATCACAGAACCAACTGAAAAAAGAAAGAAAAAAGAAAAAAAAGAAATTGAAGCAGAGATAGTTATCATGAGTGACAAAAAGACTATCTACAAGTTCTAAAATAGGAGCTATAACAAAATACAAATGTATTAATTGTACAATGGAAAAAACAGTGTTTAATAAATTGTTGTAGATGTTATTCATAGGTTCAGAGCATTTACAAGCAGAATATTTGTGTATTTTAAGAGTCTAATTTAATCTGCTTCACAAACCTCACAAGAAGCCTTCTTGCACTGGCATCACACTTACAACAATGTCACTATTACAGTGATATTTAGCACACAGCTAAAATCTGTCCTTTCGAAAACAGATGTAGAAATCAGTGCGAAAGAACTTAATGAAACGTTTCCCTACCAGACCTGATGTTACCAGGCAATATTTATCACAGACAAGAAAGCAAATATGCGTTGCTGGGGCAGCGTCAATAACCAAGTGTGATTATTGAAACTGCCAAGATAACTAGTTATGCATTACTTTACTAATAACATTCAAACAATATATATAAATGCAATAAATTAAGTTCACTAAATATCCAATTTGACTTAACATTGGGATAATTTATTCAAAATAAGTACATTTTTAGCACTGCCTCAAATTGGAAGATTGAATATTTAAAGGAAATGTCTTGGAATTCTGCTGTTGTAACACTTAAAAAAAACCTTATGAATGTAATACTATTGTACGGGAATGAACTGATCAGACCAGCAATTTATGGTCCGGTTAAATTTTGATAGAACTTTTCTGAATTTCTCTGCATTTAGTAATAAAGTTGTAAAACTTGGCAAAGGGGAGCTGTATTCAATAATCAATAAAGCTATCCTACAAGATGTAACATTTGGAAATGTGTACTTGTAATTTTTTAATATGCCTTCACTTTATCATCACTTGCTGGCCACAATTGAGTTGGTTATTTGATGATTTACTTCTGATTTCATTATCCTTCCATCACCATTCTTGAATATATTGTGGGTCTTTTTAAATTAAATTCTTTAGATGCTGTAAACTTACTAGTGACAGTGATGCTGAGAACGTTGCTCTTCCATCCTTCTTCATCTTCACACCAGTATTTTCCAGTGTCAGTTTCAAAAGCATTATTTATGGTGCAGTTCACTGTTGGCGTCACTGTGTAATTTGTACATGTTGGAATGAAATCTTCAATATTTCTTACCCCTCTCCATTTAGCCTGGTGATTTA